GAGAGAGAGAGAGAGAGAGAGAGAGAGAGAGAGAGAGAGAGAGAGAGAGAGAGAGAGAGAGAGAGAGAGAGAGAGAGAGGGGTCTTGGTGATTCATGCTGTTGATCAAGATGGTCCTTATGCAAGAGAAAGAGGAGAGAGAGTGCAATGAGCCATTTTGCCAGAGTCGGTGCCGCAGTTGGTCCTAGGATCGGCTGAAACAGACTCGGTTTTGATAGGCCTGATCAAACTGAATCTCCATCGTTATGGTCACTATTTCGCAAATCTGTGCGCTCCATTCCCCGTGTGTATTCTGGGCCTGTTCCATTTTCCTTTGATTGTTGGAGACGGGTCGCACAGAGACTCTTTTGTCTCATACTATGTCCGTTTCCGGGGTTGTTTTGGCGCCCACCGCCTACCCCTACCGTAGTGCAAGGAAAATGAGCAATAGCGAGATGACAAAATCCAGACTGCATAATCACATTGAATGCCAGAAAGTATCACAGTGTCCAGAAAGCAGCATTGCACCAATATAACACCAATGGAGAATCGTAACACTGTAAACCGAATGTCAATGATAGCTTGCTCTCGTCATCACCAACACAAGTATCCAGGCCCTTCTCCCTACTTGGCGCTCAGCGCCCAGCCGACTCCCTACACGGCTAATATCTGCCTACTAATCGACAATGCAACTGTTGACATCAGCGGCCAACGAAGTACTTGAAGATGTCGTCCAATGCAGACCATCGCCAATACCAGGTATGTGCCCTCACATCATCATCATCATTATCCTCCTGCCTTCTTCCTCGACTTCCACCCACGTCTTCCTTCTGTACACCCGAAGACCACCCCCATGCACCTTGCTGTACATCCAAGCCCCAGCCAGCTATGGAGGCTGGGCTATGGCGCTGCCCTCAGCAGCGCCCTTCCTCATACACGACCGCACGTGCGCAGCTCCTTGCCTCAGCACAAGCGGCAGCCCACAAGACTCCGCTCCAGCAGCGCTGCCACTAGCTTGCAAGTGCCCGAATATCCCTCCAGGCAGCGAGCTCTTTCCTATAAGGAAAGAGTCTGCCTGCCCTGTGGCCTGGCTGGGCTGGGCCTGCGCCCAGAAGCTTCCGGTAGGCCCCAGGAGGCTGTGCCTCTCCCGCAGCTGCTGGGCCTCGTTCAGTTAGGCCTCCCAACTGTCTGTGTATGTTGCTGCGAATCCTGCCCAGGGCCTGCATTTCAGAAAGGCCTGGAAGGCCGTGGAAATTCTTTGTAGCTTGAGTCCTGGGTTCCCTCAACCAACTGACGCGACACAACTGTCTGAGCCCCACATACAAAATTGACAGCATTTGGGCCTCTCGTGATTTGTTAGGCCCGCCTTAACTTAGGGCGGACACACTTGCATCAGGGCCCCCTTAGGCCTGTCGAGGAGCCACATCCTCGCAGTAGGCGGTAGGCGCGCCTACCAGTCGGGCCTACCCGTAGGCGGACCCGTCAGCGGTTGGCAGACTGCCTAAATTTTTTTATTTTTTTTTCCCGATGACATGGTCGTGTGCGGCTTGAGGAGAGCAATCCGCAATAATTTTTTTGGGGGGTGGAGGGGGTTATATGGGGAGGTATAAGGGGGTTATAGGGCGTTGCAGGGGGTAAAGGAGGGTGAGGGTGGGTGTAAGGGGGAGGTATAGGGGGGTTATAGGGGATTAAGGGGGGGGTATGACGGTGTTAGGGGGAAGTATGGGGGTGTTTGGGGGGTGTATGGGGGTGTTGGGGGGGGCTATGGGGGTGTGGATGGGGTTATTTCGGGTTCTGGACCCAAAATAATAATAATAACAATAATAATAAAATTTCCGGGGTGCCTACTGGTCGCCGACCGGTCGCCGACGACAACGCCTACCGTCGGCTGGTCGGCAGCCAACGGGTCCGGGGCCGCCGACCCTCGGCGTGACTACCCTCGTCCGTTCCTCTTATCTTTTGGGGGGAACTATTGTTTTTCTCTGTGGCCTGCTCGGGTCGAGAAAACGACAGAATGTGGCCACAGCCCTAAGACTGTTAACTACCAAACAAAGAAAAGAAAAAGAAAGAAACTACAGGGAAAGCCGTGCGTGCATGTCTCCAAAACTCAGAATTGGAAGATCAATGACAGTCAATTCTTGTGCAAGTGGTTGGAGGGAGGTGGAGGGGGCGAGGGGATTGGCGGGGAGCAATGAGGAGGAATGGCTTCACATACCGGCTCAAGCGAGCAGCTTCCTGGAGGTGGCCTCCAGCAGGCTTGCCAAGTGGCCAATGACAACGCAGCCCCACATGTTCCATCCCTGGAACACACAACAACGAGCGAAAAAGCGTTCCAAACCCCAATGCAACCCTTCCAAAGATGAGTGAAAGGCAACCAACCCACAGAGGGACCTCTGAGGGGATACTCCGAGCAGTACTGCTTCAAACGAACCTGTCAGCAGACACTGTGAGATCCCTCGACCTCGATTCGCAAGTTGGCTATGGGGGCTACAAAGTGCTGAAATGCAGCAGGTGTGTTCTGAATACAAATGTGAAAACAAATTCAAGAAATGCCTCTTTTCTTGTGATTGTATATGGTGTTATGACCCTGGCCAATTTCGAGATACACATCCACCGAAAGTACAATGCCATCCAATTGCAGAAAGAAATGAATGAACTTGAGAGGAGAGAGAGAGAGGATTAGAAGAAGAAGAAGAAATAAGAAAGAAGAAGAAGATGTACACCAGCAAAGACAATGACAAGGCTCTTCTTCTTCGCCCAACAATCTCCTCCTCCTTATCTCCCCCTTCTCTTATTCATACAAGAAATAATAGTACAATGTTGAATGACTGAACCAGAATCAATGTCCGAGTCCCTCTTCTACTGCAGGTATCATTGAAGGTCCACCATAGCCATGGCCGCCTCTCCCACTCTTCACTCTCATAGGCCGAGGCTATGGCGGACTACTGGGCTCTGCTCAGATGCCCAAAGGACAACCCAAAGCACCTATGGCTGCTCTAGCTCAGGCCGCCATGCCTG